TAGCATTAGCGTTAGGAAACCCAACAATTTTTCAGTATTATTAACAAATAAAATACGCTTCTAGGCAAGTAAGCATTAGCGATTAGAAACCCTACAGTTTGATAGTATTATTAATAAATACAATGCCATCTGAGGAGAGTAAGCATTAGCAATTAGAAACCTAATAGTTTTTCAGTATGATCAATAAATAAAAATCGCTACTTAGCTAGTACGCGTCAGCGATAAAAACCATAGTAGCTTTTCTAGTATTAATAATACTTAAAGTACCGTCTTGTACGACTAAGTAATAGTGACGGCTCAATAGTTTTTTTAGTATTAGAAATACATAAAATGTGGTCTTGAGTGAAAAAGCATTGTTAATTAGAAGCCCTATAATTTTTTGAGTATAATTATTAAACGAAATATTCTCTTACACAAGTGAGAATCAATAATAAAAAACACAATAGTTTTTTTAGTAGTTATAAGAAATAAAATACAATTTTAGGCGAGTAAGCAACGGTGATTAGAAACCCAATGGTTTTTTAGTATGAGTAAAAATAGGATGTGCCTTGACTGATTAAGCATCGGTGATTAGTAACCCAATAACTTATTTGAGTATAAATATTCACAATACGCTTTTAAATGAGCAAAAATCTACGATAAGAAACTTAAAAATTCCTTAGTGTTATTAAAAAATAAATTAAATGCTTAGGCATGTGAGAATCGGCAATTAGTAATTTAACAGTTTTTAGTATTATTCGAAAATAAAAGACAATTTAGGCAAGTAAACGTCGGCAATTATAAGCCCGACATTTTCTTAATGGTACTCGTAACCAAAATACGCTTTTACGCAAATGAGTATCAATAATCTAAAACCTAATAGTTTTTAAGTATTCTTAAAAGATAACGTACTGTCTAAGGTGAGTCGTTAAGTCGTCTAAGATCGCTTCCAATATTCTACGTCAGACTCATTCGGCACGCAAGATTGCACCAACAGTAACAACGCATTGTTTGACAGGCAAGCGTCGAGCTCAGCGCCTGATTAACTTACAGGGATAACGAGGCTGGCCTCCATTGCTGGAGCTGCTTGTCAACTATTAGGATGACTTCCAAGCTAATCATAGAGATCTGATTCAGGGCACACCTGTGGACAAAGTCGCCTTCTTGAGAGATCTGTACAGGTCCGCAGAAGGATACTATCTCGATGCTAAAGCGTGCCTGTATGACTCTAGGAGTCGGCTTCCATCGGAATCGTCAGAAGGTGGCGACTTGCTAGCCCGCCTCATACAGCACTCGGGTTCCGCCTTAAGATACCCGGCTCACCGACGTCGAGAAGCTTTACTACCTGAAAGCAAACGTGCAGGATGAGGCAAAAGCAGTTTTGGACACCTTACAGCTCGTTGGCTCCAATTATTCCACGGCCTGGAGCCTTCTTGTCTTGCGATTCGATTATCACCGCCTGCTCGTGTAGGACCACATCATGGCACTCTGAACACTCACGCCTATTAGCAAGGATTTAACTGCTGGTCTGCAGGGCTTGCTAGATACCTTAGAAAAGCATCGTGATCAACTGCGAGCGCTCAATCAGCCTGTAGAACATTGAGATGTGTGGATGATCTCTTTTGCTTCAATCGCCATGGATCCCTCGACTCGGAGAGCCTTGGTAGAGGAGCTTGAGAAGTTGGAGGCAGCAAGCTTGGCACAGGGAGAAGTAGCCGCTTTTGCCACCTTGTCTAGCTTTCTGTGGAGGCACGATCGCTCACTGATATCAATGGAAGCCTCGCGCCCTCCCCGAAGGAGTTTGGTGAAGGGGTTTCACCGCCCAGCGCAAGCTGTGCTTTAACTGCCTGAAGCCTAGCCACATGGCGACTGTCTGCCCTTCCCGAGGAGTATGCCAACATTGCAAGGCATGGCATCACAGCCTCATTCATACTGACGGTTGCATGCGCAGGACCGTGCTTGATCCAGCATCAGCTGAGGCAAAGCAGTCGATCTTCACCTCGGACTCCAAGGGTGGGATCAACGCGGTGGCCGCCTCATCGTCATGACTAGCCGTCCTGCCCACGCTCAAGGTTCAGATCAAGGGACCCCGGGGGCGGACAGTTACAGCAAGAGCACTCGTTGACACTTGCTCAGAGATTTCAATCACGTCCACTGCACTGGCTCGAAAGATTGGCGCTCGCCCTGAGCCTGGTGTCATAAGCCACATAAATAACTATATAATATAGCGAGATATATACTAGTTAGGCTCTGCCCTCCTGCACGCTCTGCGCGCCAGCCCCCCAAGCGTAATATTAACTCAATCTACGGAATGATGGACTTGTTATATAATCGAGTACAACTAATAAGTCATTTGTTTATCTCTGTAAAATTCTTTAACTTAGTTTGTTCTACTTTTCTTGATGATGTTGCCAATCTTTTAATTGATTAAAAATATACATACAACATACAGTTTTGTTTGACTATATTTTATTATTTGTGTTAGAACTTTAATATGTTGCTTGGATAACATAATATTTGATATAATGTATGATCTAAGGGACTTGGTTAATAAAATAGTTAATCGGTTAATAGTGTTAAACTTATATTACATAGTAAGTATACCGATTTCTTCAATAAAANATATATATATACATACATGTATATGTATGTATGTATGTATTACATGGATTCATTCAAACAATCGGAATAATTCTAAAAATAAAGAGTCATATCTCAAAGCTACATCCTACATCTGCTAGCTATCAATGGATTTAATTTCTCTTCTTTATCATGTACTATAAGAATAATTGTCATGTGACCAAAAACTATATTCTTATTATTAATTGTGAGATTAGTAGAAATCGCTTGTAAGCACAGGTAATTTTAATAAATTATAAATAATTATAGAAAATGAACTGAAAGAAAAATTAAAAATTTACAAGGAAAAATAGTCATACATCTATTTTTTTCCTTAATCTCAATGAAATGGAGTGAATTTTTTTACTCTTATGGTATGGTATGGTAGCCAAAATTTGAAAAAACTTTTATTCATCAGTTACAATGCCTTGACAAGAATCGATTGTACATATATAATGACATATTTAAAGTACGAGTAGTAATTACCTTTTTTCAGGGCATGTATTAGTTTCGTTCTGCATTACATGACCAAAAATTAGGACATGTATTAATTCATGTATCATATCAAATATGAAAGTACTTTGAATGCGTGAATCATGGGTAACACAAGTAGTATGTATAAGTATATGTATTTCATGCTCGTGCGTGCTCGAATACGTAATAATAATACAGTTTTTTCTATTTTAATATTGGATTCTTAAGGACTTATTAAAATTAGGTGTAATCAAATTTTCTTAGTTTCTGTTATACCAAGTTTAATTACATTTAAGTTAGAAGTTTCACTTCTGCCAGGGGTCCCAAAACCCACATCTTGTTTTTTTTCCTCTTGTATTTTACTGACCTAATTTATGAAAGATTAAATAAAAATTCATGGACATGAACTCTTCTTTATATAAGTTAAATAATTGATCTACTAGTAAAAACTTTGATAGTTCCATCTACAAACACTTAAAAATCCCACAGTTCAAGGTCAATATTACCATATATTTGGCTCATACCTCTGTAATCAGACACCGATCGATCCAAGGTTAAGCTCACGTTTATTTATACACCCTTACGTTTTTTTGAAAACACAATAATTAAATATACGTCTATCTCTAAAAAAAATTACACACACACACACATACATAAGTATTTATTTATTTAATTATTTAAGCTGAAAGAATGAAAGCTTATAATACACGTATTTCGCGTTGACTGTTGGAGTATGCTATTTCTATTTTGGGGTATAAAAATGTTCACCCAATAATTTAAGAGAAGAACTATTTTTTATGTTAGTTGTTCACGCTTGTTGATGTATTCCAATCAACTCTGAATTGATTGTTTGATTCCCAGTATTGTAACTTGATCTAACTATTCGACGATTATTACTATTATTTTTAATTAAGATTGTTTTTTGTTTATCTAAAAATAAACCAATACTTAGATGTTGTTCCCAATTTTATAGTTTACAAATCCTTATAAAACTTATTGTACGATCTCCCAATCAGCTGTTACAAATTAGTAACATTTTTTACCTTGTTAATTAAAAGTAAACAATTTCTTAATTTATTATTTTCAGTCAAAAATAACACGTTTGAATAACAAACTTTTCTTGTACTGTTTAAAAATGAAATAAAAATTACAGCAGGCAATAACTTTTTCAGGTGATAATATTAGGAGTAATGTTATGCAACATATTTGGTTATGATCCAAATGACAAAACTTTGAAAGACATTTTGTTACCAGAAGGAAATTTTGAAGCATTTTATCTAAAAGCAGAGGAGCATGATGTTGCAAGACCTCCACACTTACATGGATCTTTTCATCAGTATAAGAATCCTGCATTAATTATTGCACCTAATATTGCTGCTTATGGATATCGTTTTGATGGCAAACGAAGATTTAATTATGATTAGGAGGCACAAACTGCTGTACTTATACTTCTAAAATTATATATATTATCTATACAACTGTTTTGAGATTTAATTAAATAAAAAATGATACACAGTTTTTTGTATGTTCTAATAATGATTATGTTAAATAGAAAAAAAAGTAGCTAAAGCTATTTAAATGTTTAGATACTTTGCAAACTTTTGTTGAACCCTTACTATCACAATACACCTTTTTACTTTTAAACATTCTAGTTAGTACTTTTACAGCAAGGCACGTAACTTATTATTCAAACAAGTTTGTAAAAAACAACACATTTATTTAATTACTTGAACCATCTCCCAACGTACAATAATAATCATCTCCACTAGCTTCATACTAATAACTAAATTACTAGTATTAGCTTCATTTTTTATATCGTGATTATTCCCTAAATATCATTTACAGAGTCTGCTTTACTTTTTTTCATCGATTCATTTCATGAGTGTATTGTTGTACACAATATCATTGAAATTTAGAGTAAATTACATCAACCCATCTCCTATCATAAGTATTATAATGCAAATCATATTATAACTACTACTTCATTTCTGTAACTCGTGCTATATCCTAATTAATAAAAACCCTCCTTTATAGTCTTATTAAGTTCTTACGAAATATTCAACATTCTCTAATTAAATCAGCTCAAAATTTTGTAAGTGCAAGGAAAGTTTTTATATTCAGTTAGGAAGAAACTTTTATATCACTATAAAAAAAATTAGTTTCGTAAGCTAAGTGTTACGTGAATATAGTTAAAACGATCCATATCTATTAAAAATCGTAGTGAAAGCCCCCAATATTTGGAAATAGTTAAAACGAATTGTTTTTATCTAAAGTCAAAAAGCTTAGGGCGTATGAAAAAATATGTCATAAAGAAAATGTACGAAAATGTTCTACGATAAAATGCCATCAGTTTAACACTTTTCCTTCCCATAGTAACAGAAATCAAATTGCTTACAGATTTTCAGGAATTTCTAAGTTACGTTTAAATAAATAGTAAGGGTCTGCATTTGAATAAGCTATGTACTGAGCTTGTTGTATACTGTGATGGTGAGATACCGTCGAGCCATCATCGGTAGGCTAGGACCGATAGGGAAAGAGGGAAAAGAGGAAAAGCGAAGAGGATAGTTAGGAAAAGAGGGAAAAGGGTAAAAGCCGAAAAGAGAGCAGATTAGCTTGGGCCAGTGAACGCGTGTGAAGCGAGTTTTGTTATGGTTTGCGAGAAGCAATTTTCCCAAGGTAATTACGCGAGAAGTGATTTATTGGTTTTCACGCCAGAAGCGTTGGTTAGAATTTTCTCTGGTTTTGGCAATCATTGCTACTGCGGCTGCCCTTGAGTGCCCCCAGTGCAGTGCTTGGTGCGAAGTGTCCTGGCTCTGCTGAGATAGCAGATGACGCCGGACTCTAGGTCACCAGGGTCAACCTCGATGACATTATCCTTCAAACGTTGCCAGTAGGGACGCCTCGCCCACTGGCCTTAGTGTTCCCGCTCGATTGCTGCTTGAGATCCGGATTAGCAGAAGCATCGCCTAAGAGCTTAGCAGCGCTTGTAAGAACCTACCAACGAGCATTTGATTGTAAAAGGTAGCGGCCGTTGAATAGCCCGCGTTGTCTGCCCGGTTCGCGAGTTTGCGCCACGAACACGTCGAGCACGGTTGCTCGATGTGCGATTACACACAGACATACACGCATACACCCGCGAGCATATTTTATTGTACTTAATACTTCTTTTTGAATATATTTCTTTTATTTGAATTTACTCGTGAGTGCTTCCTCTCTGTGTGTACCCTGTCGACCCCTGTGTTGTATTAAAATCATCGCGAGAGGCGGCGACATCCAAGGTCGCCACGATACTTGGCCCCTGTGGTGTCTCGGCGAACGAGATCCGCGTAAACATATTATAGGGAGTGTCGCCGCGGGTACCCGGGCAACACAGGCCTGTTCGAGGTTGCAAATTCTGCCGCGAGCAATCAACTTCGGTAGCACCCCGTAAAAACACAAACAAATTAGAATAGCAAAAAATTACGGATTTGAAATGATTATTTAAATATCTTCTAAATTACTCCAGTAAATTAAATACATTGTTGTTAAGAGTTTTGGAGTTAGATTCCATTTAAAAACCATTGTTATACTTCCTAAAAAATTTCTTAGGACTTTTTTAGAACTCAAGGGATATAGCAGGGGGAAAAGCTCCCCATTACTAGACGTACATTGTCAATAAAAAATTGTTGAAAAGTACTAATTTGATACTCTGTTAGCAAGTACCCAAGAACTCTCTGTTCTTCAACTGGTCCTTGCATATGTACCTTTAGCGATCGATCGTGTAATAATCATATATCTTGAAAGACACATCATCAGCAATAGGTTAAAATTAAAGCGTTTTATACTGATTTAAAAGAAAATTACAAATTTTAGTAAATGAATGCAAAAAACATAATTTTTTAGAAATTTGTGGGAGAATTGTTAGGTTAATTGTGAACAACTCCAACTTATATAACAACAATTAAATAAGAAAATGCACCATTTCAAGATAAAAAAAAATGAGCCATGTTGGGACCAAATTGGTGAAGCCATTTTTTCACAAATTGCGAAGTGGTTCCAATTAAAACTAAGAGCTAAAATTTCAACAGAGGTGGGTATAGTAGCCATACACACAAAATTTCAGCTGGATCAGATTTAATTTTTTTGTGAACCGTAGGCAAAACCAAAAAAAGGCCATTTCGAAGAATGACTCTGAACCAGTTTTGGGACTATGTAGGACCATTTTGTAAACGCTATACTTTTCTTCAAAAATTACTCTGTAGTTTGATAAACTTGTTAAATCATCAATCTTATCTTAATTTAAAATACCGGAAATTTTCATCAAAAAATAGTGTATTTTTGCGATGAGCGGCCAGCCAACGATAGTCATGCCTAGTTCCTTGCACTGAGGTGTTTTCAGTAGAGTATCTTCAAACTGAAATGAACGTAAGAAGTAGTGATTTCTCTGGGGTAGAGAATTTAAAATCAATATTTTCTATCTAGGGCAGCTTTCAACTATATTTATTTTACACATATCTACTTATTCTAAATAACAAATGTAATCGTCATAAATAAACAATTGTGGTAACTGCACACTCTCCCTTAATTTTGTTTAGCTGCCACATTGTGGTGAGGATTTTTTGAAAGTAGCATGATAAAATACTTCATGTTCATAAGAGATGACAACTTAATGTAAAGTTATATTGTTAAAAACAATTTAAAACAAATTTTTTTGTTATGTCTGTGATTATTTTATGAGTAACAGAATGTTAAATGACATGTTTATTGATAATAATAACTAATTGTAGAAATAGTAAAAAAGATGTTGTTAATAATAATATAAGAAATTTTTGTAAGGTTTTTTATCGTATTTTCTCTGTTGAGCAAAATGTAATTATATATAACTAAAATAATATTGTTCACTGTATTTGGATATATTTTTAATAATAATAAGCTATATTAAACTTCATTTTTGGCCATGATATGTAATGTAAAATATTTTCTGTTAATCAATATTTAAAAATAATGCGTCTATTCTTTGGACTTCTCAGAATAAGAGAATTTTTATTAAAAAAACTTTTTAGAACCCATGTGGTTTTCGTCAAATAATAAAGTGCAGAAATGTTTAAAAAATATAAGAATACCAAAAAGTACCATGCGTTATTAATGCCGTATAATAGTTGTTGGCCATAAAAAAAGCCGTTGACTTGCGATTTGTTGTAATATATCAAAAGGGCTGTTTGTTGAAGCTGTAAAGACTTAAAACTGATTGTTAAAATTTTTTTTTTTAATCACAAAACCATTAGATCAACAGAGTTGTAGAACCTCATCTCTACTTTTTTTAGCGCAGCCATAAAAACAAATACATATTATTCCACCTGTTTTAAAAGCTAAAAGATTCGAGTAATCGATGCCAGGGTAATAACGGAAAGCTGATCTGTTATATAATGGATTATTTTTGAGTCGATTTTGATGTTTTTGTTCCAATCTCGATAAGTATTCTGCGTCAATTTCAAGACGCCTAAAATTGTACACATTTAAAGCATTTAAAGTTTTCCTTCCAATTTACCCTGTTGCAACTCTAGAAATTGTTAAGAAATTTTTTAAGCCCTAAAAAATTTTTGCCAATTTTATTAAGTTATATTAAAGTTGTTGGCAAGGCACTTCAATGTTAGATTGCCCTAAAATGGACTGGTGAGTTTAACTCTTTTTATAATAAAGTTTTCAGCAAACGGTACTGTCTAAATACCTTTCAGAGGTACTCTCTGACCTGCTGTTTTAGCACCGGAACGGTAAGGAAGAAAACCACAATGCCCTGAAACGTTGGAGCTCCGTCGTTTTGGTAATATAAAGTGGAGATTGGTTCGTGTCGCTTGTCTGTTGCATACTATCCCAGTGGCTTGAGTCATGAACTGTCACATACGCTCAGATACTCATTTATAGTTGAGTACACAACACCCACTATACAAATTAAGAAAAGAGCTAAAAATTAACAAAAATCCACTGTTTTAATAAAGGTTTATTGAGTCATATGAAATAGATAATTAACATATTATCAATAAACTATTTTTCGAGCATTATGATACTGTTTGCATAACAAAATGTTAAAAATGAAATGAACCCTACTATTTTTTACATACTTAATTTAAAAACATTTTCATTGACCATGTAACCCTATGGAAGAGTTACGCAAAATTACATTTATAAGAAAATGATCCATAGAAATCTTCCAATTTTTTGTTACGATAGAATACTATTAGGTAAACACATTATATTAAAAAATAGATCTACAAGTTAGTTTGTTATTATAATAAGAAAGAAGGGGTTGAATATGTGAAAGCGTCTTTGTAGGTACATACGAACCAAATACGGACTAAATAAACTTTAACTCTGCAAACTGTGACGAACGTCTTTCACTGAAAAAACCACTTTTATAAGGAATGAAAAAATTTCGAATTAATAAGCA